CGTCCCCCCATATTGCCATTAGAGCTCTCTCGAGCCTCCACCGCTGGGCGGCTAGTATATAGGCAGAAGGACATTACCAGCAAAGACGGGACACTAGGAAGGCCTAGTCTTTAAGCATGTTTTCTATAAAGTGTATTTGAATTTAGAAGTGCATCGAGAATAAATATTGGGCAAAATAAAAATTAAGTAGTCATTTGTAAATAATACGGTTTTTGCGGGTGGTTGAAAAAAAATTAAATTCACAAATCGGCATCCCCTCGTATCTGAAAAATCATAAGCCAATGCTTGCACCGCATGACGATTTATTTTACTACTTCACATAAGTACTCTTTCCCAGTAGGAAATGGTTCCGAATTTTGGTTAACTGGAAAGGGTAAATTTGAGCTGCTCAGAAAGATAGCATCGGCAGAAAACGTGAAGGGAAGTTCTCGATCAACAGTGACGAGAAGGTTTCGTGTCATGTCAAATAATCTACCATATCACACTCCCAATAGATACTGCACAATATCCTGTTTTCCAAAAATTTATTTTTGAGGCAATTAATACGATAAAATAGAGCCCTGATCCATCTCAGTCTTCGAATTATTTAATGTCTATCTAATTTGTGTGTCAGCAACTTCTACTTTTCTTGTTTTCAGTTCAATTAAGTCGATTTATGAAAAAGAAAGTTATTGCGCAGAGCAACAGCTGAATATGTCTCACTTTCAAACTATTTCCAACTCTGTTCACAAAGCTTTGGATCAATGGAGTGGCGCCGCGGCCAGCCTCATAAATGCTAAAAGCCTTATACGAAAAGAAGATCGAGTAACCGTAAGCAATCGTTCTGAATTATACCCTTATTTTTTATCTGTTCAGGATCCTACCAAGGGACCCAGGTGAGTAATCGATTGAATCACGAATAATAATCCTCGACATCTATGCCGCGTGAAAAGCCCGCCTCTTCTGCATGCGTTCTAAGTCACCCTTCTATTTGTTTTTTTTCAAAATTCCCTTGTAAGCAGTAATTTTTATCCAAGATTTTATTTTGCGAGGGAAATGGCAAGCCGCTTGTGGTTGTTTTGTATGTTCTTCTATGACCTTGCAGTTGGCAGGCCTCGGAAACCGCGCCTGAGGTAAGCTACGTGGACCATAAAGATAAAACCCTGCGAGAACGTGCTGTTCTTCAAAATGAGGCCAAGACTCCTGCCAGGGTGGAGGCCTGCGGGACGGTTCTGAAGCAGATTACCTCTGACCTTGAAACCGATCTGGCCTATCAGCTACAACGTTCTCTCCCGGAGAAATTTGCGGAGCTAAAGGCAATCACAGAGACAAACTTCCAGCTGGATGCGGACCTGATCAGCGCGGAGGCAGAATTGAGGTCGGTGAGAGAGGAGAGTGCTTTATGTTCAGCTGAACTCTTGCGGGTAGAGCAGGAGCTTGGCGCAGTTCTTGATACAACGGAGCGCATAAGTGTGCTGGCTTTAGCATTTTAGGCACGACCGATGTCCTGCAAGTTTGCACAAACTTGGTTGCAGCTCTTGCAATATTGGAGAAATCTTCAGAGCGGCAGTCTGTTTTGTTCCAATGCACAGTTACACAAGAATAAAGGCACACTACCTGCTTATTTACGTTGTTAGCACTTGTTTGTTTTCATCAGATACCTTGACATGTCTTTTTGATCAATAAAAGACGGGGAATTTCCTATGAACACTAAATGGAACCACTGAGAAAAGACAGGAGCATTCATTTAGTAGATGCCTGCAAATACTGCCATCAAAACAGAAAGTACGCGGGATTAACTATTCAGTTAGCTACATATCCGAGACGTCAATAGGACATATTTTATTTGAACTTGAAAGGAACGTTGACTTTTATCAATGTTCGATCCTTATGTTCATTTACCCCCAGATAATAAGCTACAGAGAGAACGAAGCAAATCAGGATGTATTTTACCTGTTTCGGTAAAATAAACTGGCTTAAAAGTCAAATCCGTTCTAAATATAATTTAAAATAAGTGAGCTCAAAGTTATTTCTGCACCGTCACAAATCACACAGCTCTCGTAAGTACCTACTAAATGCGAATTGAATAGCGTCAAATAATTTAGGATTACAGGTTAAGGCCACCTTTTTGTTAAGCTACTGCGATAACAAGGGATGGAAATAAGTACTATAATGTTTATCCCACATGGTCAGCTGAGAATTCAAATAATTGAAGTGGAAGATTAACAGACGAAGACCATAAGCGTACATGTCTTGCATATCTGAACTTCACGTCTGACACAGAAAAGTGAAGGTATTTTAGTGCATGAAAATGAGCCGATACGCGAAGCTAGCTCTAAGAAACTTATTTAAATAAATTGTTTTTGTTATGACCCGCGCCTGGTACCGCTAATTACGTCGAACGCCGAACCCAAGAGCCCGTAAGAGGGAGAGAGAGAGAAGACCGGTTGGCCAGAGAGAGGGAGTTTACTGAGACAAACACGTTACAGGAAGTCAGTGCAAGTAATTCTCACACAAAGGCTGCATGTACTCAAGCGGGAACGCGAGGCACATAGCTGAGTCAGTGGGCCAATCAGCTAGGAGG